TGGCCCCTGTAAAATAAACATTTGATCAGCAGGTCCCCATGAGGCCATGGGAGTGGTCGGGAGGTGGGTGGTGGTTGCATATCAAGTAGGCCTGCTAGCCTGACTCTGGCCATGAGCAAACAATCTTCTCTCCTCACAGATGCCTGGCAAAGCAGTGTTAGTGCAAATTAAAAAAAAAAAAAAAGTTTGAAGCCTCTTCCACCTGTTTGACTTCAGATTTTCAATTCCAGGTTCACTGTGGTGGTCTAGGGGGAACTGGGCTTTCAGCTTTCAGAAGCCCAGAGCCCCCTGATGGTTATTCTTTGTAATTTACCTCAAAGAGACCAATCTACCATTGCCTCAGTCTTTGAACAAAAGCCTTCTGACTCCCTTCTCCCAAAGAACCTGGGCTAAGTAAGGCATTGCCACCTGAATCCAGAAAGAAACATGAATGTTTTGGGTTGTGCTCTCTTAAAGTGCATTTTTGGACCCTGAAGTTTCACCTCTGAAGGAAGTGGGAGCTCAGGAGGGGAAGGAGGAGGAATGCCTCAGCTTTTTTGGGTTGTGCTCTCTTAAAGTGCATTTTTGGACCCTGAAGTTTCACCCCTGAAGGAAGTGGTAGCTCAGGAGGGGAAGGAGGAGGAACGCCTCAGCTCATACCAAGTATCAACTCGCAGGCAAAATAATAATTCACTCTTTAATGGGAACTCATTCTGTGCTCCCGCCTTTTAATTCTCTCTCTCTCTCTCTCTCTCTCTCTCTCTCTCTCTCTCTCTCTCTCTCTCATTTTCTCTCTTTCTCCTCTTCTCTTGCTCCATCCCCCTCGCATCTCTATCTTTCTATTTCCCCAAATATCTCCCTGCACGTTCACTTTCTCTTAAAGGAAGAGCTTTACATTTCCCTTTCACACACACACACACACACACACACACACACACACTCTCACACGGATCTTTTATCTTTTGGCTCTCATTTTCAGACTCTCAGAGCTCAAAGCTCCGCAGCTCAGCTGAGAACTCTGGCACTTCTTGGATTGATAAAGTGGCTTTAAAATGCTTAGAACTGAATGAAGACAAATCAACTGTGGCGAGAGAAAGTAAACACATCCATGCACCAGTCAACTCTGGCAAACGCCTCGCTGACATTACGAACTATAGTTCCTGCCTGTGCTGTGGGGATGCTCTAGCAGTCTGGGTAAGGACCGAAACCACAAAGCAACCTTCTCTGCCTGGGTTAGTTGTGCCCCAGAGGAGGCAGGAGCCAACTACACCAGTGTGTGCCTCCTTGTCTTCATGTTTAGTAATGTATCAATAAAAGAGAGAGGACAGTTTCATTCTTTCTGCTCTAGAAGGCTTCCCCTTACTGCAAACTCTTCATGTGCAGGTGAAACTTGCCTGTGAAAGAACCAGAATTTTTCACACACACAGAAAGAGAGAATTTGATAAGGGCATAATTTGATCTGAACATTTGAGCAACTTTTCCTGCAGGGAATCTATAATTTCTACACTACCCTTGTGTGTGTGTGTGTGTGTGTGTGTTCCGGGGTTTTCTCAAACCAAGATGTGGAGGTGGTTCTCAAACTGTTCATTTCACAAAGAAGTTTGGACTCTCTGTGTGTTTTGGCACCAGTCTGTGGAGATGGTAACAGACACAGAGAACCACGTGTGTTTGGAGTTGTCTCTTCTCTTTTGTAGAAAATGTTCTATTTATGCCTCTTTAGAAAAATTTAGATTATAATGTATAAGCATATGTTTTATTCTTTCAGTACTACAAGTACATATTCTTCTGATTTGATGCAATTTCATTGAAGTACATGTTTAGAACCAAGAGAATATTGGTGTGTGTGTGTGTGTGTGTGTGTGTGTGTGTGTGTGCGCGCGCGCGCGCGCGCGCTGGAGGGGGAGGGGAGAGAGGGTAGGAGAAAGAGGTTAATTCAGGAATATCTTCGTATATCAATAAGTTACAAATCTGCCTATGAGAAGCATGCATATGGGGACAGAGACGGGACTTTCAGTACAAATAAAAACAACATCTAAATCTTTGTGTATGCTCCTAGAACACAATGTACTTTTTTTTTTTTTTTTGGTTTCTCTTCATAAATTTTAAAATCAAAACTTTGGTAGCTAAATGCCCAGTATCCTAACCAGTTGGCTGCCCAAGAGTTTGCCTCTTTTTAAACATAGAAAAGAGGGAGCTTGGGGTGATGTTTAGAGATGGCTCAGGGACTGAGGTAGAGAGTGTATGTATGTTCCAAAGAATGAGTTCTGAAATCGGGATTTCAATTTTTTTTTTTTAATCAAAGATGCTAGTCACCTGCACTGGGCCACCTTCTTCCCAAAGTAAATGGTGTACTTATGTCACTTCCAGCCATCTCCTTCCCCCCTCCAATCCCCTCCCTCTTTTCATTTTCTTTTCTTTCTCTTTATTCTTTTCTGTCTTTTTCTCTCTCTCTCAGTACAATGTGCTGGAGGTCAATGATTAAACTGTTTACTCCAAGGTTTAGGTATGAGACAGCATGTCATCCGCCATAAGTAAAGTTTCACCTTTACACCCAGCTCCATCAATAATTACAGAGAGCAAAGATGACTGTTAGTAAATCATACTCACAATTAGCTCTTAACAAAAACTGATTTTATCTGTTCCAAGCATTCCTAGTTTCCTTGATTTTACAAAAAAAAAAAAAAAAAAAAAAAAAAAAAAAAAAAAGCAAAAACTACAAAGCAGAGGAAGCCTGATCCAAAATGAAGTAGCTTCCTACACAAAGGGCTAATAAGTATCTCTTGGAAAATGTATGCCCATAATAGTTGCCCTTACTGCAACTGGAGATTTGAGGCTGTCATAGAATGTTCTGTTTGTTATATTAATATCTCCTTTGAACCAAAATGATTCTTAATAATTAAAATTCCATGGTATCGATTTTTTTTTCCTTTGTGTCCTTTGTCCTGTTCAGGAAAAAAAAATTGGCAAAGTCTTTTTAGGTATAGGTTGATAAAATTAATTAACTTTCCTTTTACTCCAAAAAGGTCTCAAATAAACGCTTCCAATAGACATCAAAAAAGTGTCAATTAGAAATAATTACTTCTTATCAATCAGTGGGGCAATTAAAGTGACAACGCTTGAAAAGATACTTATCTTAAAACTAATTCACAAGGCAACTAAATTATCTCCTAATTAACTTGCAGAGGGTGGGAAGCTAGACCATCCTGAAACAAAGATGAATTGAAGAACCCCAATACCCTCTTTATGTTTCTAGACACCGGTTCACCTTTCACTTTTCCCCTCTTAAAAAAGCTTTTTTTTTTTTTTTTTTTTTTTTTTTTTTTTTTTTTTTTTTCCTCCCCAAGCCAGTCAAGGAACCTGGAAAGAAACAGACGCTTTCCAATTGAATCTTTTCCACCCTCTCCCAGGAGCCACCCGGCTTTAGGTGTTTAAAGGCAACTTAGATGCATTTTTTTTTCCTGGATCTTCTCATCTGCCACTAGGATGATATGTTTTCAGGACGGACAGAGGGGACAGTTTCTCCACAAGTTTTTTGAATATTACTTTTAATGACAATCTGCTTGCTTTTTAACCAAACTCTCTTCTCCATGAAAACAGAATTATTTACATTTTAATATTTAAGTGCCGCTGATCATTTCTCACGCATCTTTCAAAATATCTTTCTCTTCTCCATGAAAACAGAATTATTTACATTTTAATATTTAAGTGCCGCCGATCATTTCTCACGCATCTTTCAAAATATCTTTTTTTTTTTTTCGCTTCTGCTTTTAGAGAATTGTGTCCCCCGGTACAACAAAAAATCCTGCGGATTTACGGAGCGCTCAGCCCAATGCTGACCTACAGATGTCAAAATAATTCACTCACAGCAGGAACTATCTTTTAGAATAAAGCTGTAGAGATGCTAAGACCTTTCTTCGAGACTAGATTAGCCTGGGATGAGTGGAGGGTGAAGGGTGAGCCGCCTCAGCCTGAGCGCCAGTGAGAAGGAAACTTTAGTTGGGTAGCTAGGATGGCTGGACCAGGGGAACCTAGCATGGCCTGGCTCTGGGAAAAATAAAAAAATAAAAAAACCCGAGAGACTCTTGAGCTCTGGAGTCTGATCCACAGAAATTTATATCCGCAGACTCCACAGCCGCAGGCAGAAATTGAGGTGCCATCAGATTTGTGGACCAGCCGCTAAACCCGAAGGAAGAATGGGCTTTTCAAAAAACAAAAAAACAAAAAACAAAAACTAGAAGGGCCAGCTAGGAATTCCTCTCTAAACTCTCTAAATAAGGGACACGATGTCAAATAACTGATCAGAAAAACAGAGCAACTCTGGCTTAGCTTTGCCTACACGGAGGTCAGAAGAGAAATACGGGACAGATTTGAAGTATTGGGGTTCCTTTAGGTATTTTTTTAATCCTTTTTAAAAATCGTAGTATATGGGTGGAGAAAGTCTCTCTTCCCCTCCTTATTTCTTCCTTTGTTTGGAGGAGGGGGGAAAAGGGGGGCTCTTTCGGCTTTCTCCGTCAGAAAACTACCTGGTGGGGCGAGAGACGGACGGGAAACACTCTCACCTAAGGGCGATCTACATCTGAGCTGATAGGAAAAGTGCCTTTCTTTCAGCAACTAGGGCGGTCGTTGAATAAAGTAAAGGCAAATCGTGCCTTTGTCTTTCTTCTTTTATTTTCACTTATTCTAAGGACTGTTTTTAGAATGAAAATAAGCCAATCCGGAAAAATCCTGAAACTCTGATTTCTTAAAGCAGCTTTTAAGAGTCTCGCTCATCCTCGTGAATTCGAGGTCTGTGAAATGCCACTCTTGTCACCATCGGAAAGGTCAGGAGGAGGTCGAAGGTAGTAAACCCGAAAATCCAAAAGCCTAGCCAGAGAGGTTAGCCGCTAACAGACCTGAGACCCCGCTAGGCCTGGAAAACTACCAAGCTCCCGGAGCAGAGGCGGTGTCCACTATAGTTCGCTACTTTGACTGAAGACTAAGGGGCTAATATCTTGCCCCGGCCTGGCCTTAGAAAGTGGTACCGGGGCTCGCTGCATCTCCAGGAGCAGCGGGATCAGGGGTGCCAGGCAGCTTCACTGGCGGCTCCAGGGAAGTGCGGGGAGCTCCACGCCGCAGTCCCTGAAGCTGCCCCAGGTCGGCCAGGGCAGCTGAGATCGCTCGGGCCTCACTTTGGGAGCCGGGCAGGGGTGGGGAGTGAGCATCCGGCTGTCTCCTCCTCTGCCTTGCCCCGAAAGGGGTTAGGAAACCTTTCTGTGCTCTAGGGGTTTGGCGGTGTCCCTTCCAGTGCGATCTGGGCCCTCCCGGCAGAGACTGCGCCTCACGTTCTGACCCTGGCAGCTAAATAAAGATCTCAGTCGCGCAGCGCGCGGGATCCGACCCTCCTTATTATAACAAATGTCCCGTTTGCTGAGCGCGACTTCATATTCGCGGAGAATTCATCTGAAATATTGATTTCCTCTCACTTGGCCGGCCCAAATCGATCGCGATGCGCCCTGGCCCCATAAATCGCTTTCCTCGCACCCGACCTGGCTCCATTCATCACTGCGGGCCGAGTCGCGCCTCCGCCAGCTGTCCTCACTGGCGGTGCGACTGGGTGGCGGTCGTCCACCACGCTCGCCAGCCTGGACCCTAGGGGTCCTTCCCTGAGTACACCCTGGCCCTGGCCCCAAGCGGGCGGATCAGGCACAGCTGCAGGGATCTTAAGAGCTTTTGAAGGCCCTGGGTTGGGGCTCAGGTGGGGAGGAAAATTGGGATCTTTTGGCGGCCGGCGTAGTCTGCGCCAGTGGAAGCCCTGAGCGTGGGTCCCCTGCCTGGCTCAAGCCAGGTAGGAAGGCATCCAGAAGCACCATAGTGCGCCACCATTCCCAGACCCCCAGTCCCCAGACTCCCTTTTCCGTGGGATGAGACATGGGGGTGGGGGAGGCGGGAGTGGGCTCCCAAAGGCCTAGGAGAGTCTTGGGAAGAACTGCGTGCACCCAAAGACCAAGGATTAGGGGTCGCGGCAAATCTAGACTCTGCTTGGCCTAAGGCCTGAGAGCGTGAAGGATGTCCACCCTGTCTGTGGCTGTGTAAGATGGTTGGGGGGTGCAAAGGACAACCCTTGCGACCCCACAGATAACCCCTCACTGCTTCCTGTGGTTCTCAGAAACCAAGGGCGGGGAAGAACAGCTTGGGCAGAGGGAGACCCAAGAACTGGAGACCAGTAAGGCAGTCCCCAATGGGGAGCCAGGCCCGAATCGCCCCCAGCTGTGTCCCCACACAGGTGGGTCCCGCCAGCCTGGAGCATGAGCTCTCTCGCCCTACCCGCCCAAGCGCACACACCGACGCACGGCGGCGCCAGGGCTGGGGGTCCTGGCCCCTCCGTGGTCCTTACCGGATCTGATCGAGTTGTGAGGCATCGCCGGGGAGTCGCTCGCAGCCTGCAGAACACTCGCGGCTTTCTTACGCAGATCCTGGCGGCGCCAGCTGCCACGCTGCTACCCTGCATAAACCCAGGGCAAAGGGCATGAGACTTGAGGCCCCAACCTCACACCCCCTCCCCAAGCCAGGTCTTTTGATTCTCATTGAGTACCAAGAGTAGGGAATGTTTTTGGGTGAAGTGAGGCCAACCTTAGCCTGGCCTAGCGAATGTGCTTGTTGGGAGGATTTATGGTGAGGAGTGTACCCAGGAAGCCCCAAACTCCAGTCAGGTACCCTATCCCTCTATTGCCCCTGCCCCATCGCACTTAACTTGAAAGGGAAAAGGCTGCTAGCCTTCTTGGGACCCTCTCCTTTCTCACAGGCCAGCTGTTCCCAACCAGTTCTCTTCTAGCCCCTAGGCAACATACCTGGCCGGCTGGCCTCAGGCCCTCTCTGCCTGGGTCTGCCCCTGAGGGTGCCCAGGGCCCAGGCGTCTCTTCTTCCTTCTGAAGTTTGCTCCCATCCACCTGGCATCGCCAACCAGTTTTATCCCGCCGAGGCCCTGGGAGATGTGTCTGGCGAGGCTCTCAGGCCGCGGATTGGCTGGCTGGGTGCAGGGGGGTGAGGGAAGGGGAGGATTTTGCAAGGGGGACATGGCTGAGTGGACTCAGGAGTTAGAAACATTCGCTGGAGCTTCTGTTTCCAGCGGAGGGAAGAGAGGGCGGCTGAGTCCTAACTCAGCAGGCCAGGAAATACTGGGGGAGTGGAAGATGAAAGCCTCCGGGCCTAGGGATGTGGTTCTTTGGGAGCTCTTGGGGTCACTGACCACCAGAATGAGCTCAAGGTCGCTCTGTGACACCCTCCAACCCTCCTCTGCCCCTGCTCATGGGGAAGGGCCCTTTTTCTTTCTGGGTGAGAACTTCCGTATGTGGGCATGGGTCTTCGAGTAGAAGCCCACTCATGCAAGATGGCCTTACTTGCTGATGTGGCCCTCTCTAGAGCAGATGCCTGATCAACATTAAGCCACTTTCTCTGGGCCATAGAGACTTATCCACTGCTATGTTAAGGAAAATGGTTACTACTAAGGCCATAGGCACTTTTCTGTCTTCTCCACCATGCACAGCCACCAGCTGTCTCATTCTTTGGAGTTGGAAACTTGGGAGAAGAGTTTAAAGGAAGTCATCCGAGCTTAGATTTCACCTTATCCTGTGCCTTGGAAAGGGAAGGTTTGAGCTGACCTGTGGCAATGATACAGGAGCCGATGGCTTCTGCCAGGTAGAAGGGACCATTTGGGAAGGAGTAAGATGCCCTTAGTGGTGGCAATGAGTGCCACTTCCATCTTCATAGTTATTCTCTTTGATACTGAATCACTATTCAAGGGGACATTGTGAGCATGTGGGAGCAAATGGCCTGGAGAACCTACAGGCCAGTGAGTCATGCCCCCCTCTACCCACCAGCAATCTTAGACTAGATCTCTGGATTCAGGATTACAGCTGAGAGGACAGCCCTGTGGGGCAGGAGGGACTGTTCTGCCTTGAGGGGTAGAATAAAGTGCTGGAATGAGGAGGAAGCCAGGACAGGGGGAGAGGACACTGGGGTGTTCAGGCAGATGTGTCCATGCACCTATGTATGAAGACTCACTACTTTCTCAATTAAAAAAAAAGTTATTTCACAACCCACCTATTCTTTCTCACATCTCAAGTTTGGAGAAATCTAGTCATTCTGTGAAGAAAGAGAATGTAAATGATCGTTAAAGGGCTCTAAATGACAGCATCCTGTGCAGCATCGTCTGTTTAAATGCTCCTTTAAATGCATCTTTAAATGCTCCTGGGTTGTTATTTAAGGCTGCTCTGTAGTTTCGGAAGACACAGGTAATCTGACATGACCATACACACTGGGTATGGCACCTCAGGACCCCATGGGCTATTTTGCAGTTCTGCTCCTGCTCTTCCACTGGGAGAAGCTGTGGGGTGAACAGGCCACAGCAGAGATCAGATCTGCCCCCTCTCCACAGGAGGCAGTACTCCAGGCTGTCTGAGAAGCCTTGCCCACACAGTTTGGAAAAACCTCAGAAGTTCCACCCAAGCCAAAGGTCTACCATTAACACTAACAAATCTATTCTGGCCAATACTCTTTATACTGACCAATAAGATAGTCGTCTTTTCTTCCATGTTTAGGCCAACAGCAAGTTATTGCAATAATCTAATATGAGAATGTTATGTGCACCTGCACTTAGCTACTTATCAAGGAAAAACAGGCCCGCATGCCTCAAGGGCACCCCTGCTTCAGGCTGCAGGTGACATAGATGGCCAGGAGGACACTAAGCAGGGTTGATCTTCTAGAACCAACCAGGAGTAAGAACACCATGCCTTGCCTTCTAATTACTAATTTCCTGCAACCTAGACAGAAGAAATGTCATTAGGCAGTACCCAGGTACCTGGACAAAGCTTCTCTGGTCTCAGTTTCCTCTTTTGGAAAATAAAAATGTTGGAAGACGTGTATTTACTAAAACTTTTTCTTCAAGCTTTTAGATCCCAACCCTCTCTTTGACTTTAGTTAGGGATTTTAAAACTCATTTATATCTTGACTTTTAGTTCAGTAGGAAATTACATAATTTAAATTACAAATTTAAAATACCAATACCCCCACCCACCCATTGTTTTTCAGTTTTCAGTACATACAAAGCTTTTCCCCCAGGGCTGTCAACCAGCAATCTATAGTTTAAACCCATTTCCAAGTTTCTGTTTGGGGTTATGGTGTTTTGGTTTTTTGAGACAGTGTTTCTCTGTGTAGCCCTGGCTGTCCTGGAACTCTCTCTGTAGATTAGATTGGCCTCAAACTCAGAGATCCACCTGTCTCTCTGCCTTCTGGGATTAAAGTTATGTTCCACGACCACCCAGCTTTTTTCCCCTTTCTTTCTCTCTCTCTTCTTCAGTTACAATTCTTATAGTCTGTGTTTTTCCAAGAAAAGTTAATTTGTTGCCAGTGTTAAAATGCAATCAAGAATAATGCTGGTCGACTTCTAAAAATCTGAGAAATCTGGCCACATATTTCAGTGTTTGTGGAAATAAATATTCCTTTAGGCTTACCCTCCCATCCATTCCTGGTGACGGTGACAATCCTATGCAACAGACGGTAACTTTTTGAGTTTACATAATATTCTGGGACTTTAATGAAATATTGGTCTGGTGAGCTTTCAAAAGATGGTCTTTTGACAGCATGACCCTGGTAGGAATAGAATGAACTTTCTGGGTGCCCCTGGATGTGAGGTTTCAGGACTAACCTGGGGCTTCCCTGGCAAACCAGGTCGAGTTCATCATACCAGCTGATTAGAGCTGGGTGGTTTGGGTCTTTTGTAAGCCCAGGTTTCAGCTGACTACTGGATGAGTATGAGTGTTTGGTTACACAGGTAGAATCCTGGTGCCTGCTGGTTTAGGTGACCAACCTTGCACTTTCTCCAGCACACTCTTAACAGTACCCCAAGTACCACAGCAGAGGAGACCCAGAACTTCATCTTCCCCTTTGACATGCAGGCACGGAAGTTTCCCTGTGCAGTCCTCCTGGAGGACAGGCATGGCATAAGGCTCTCTCCACTCTACTTCTACAGCCTATCTCCCCCTACTTAATGACCATCCCCGGACCAAAATGCATCCTTTAGGGATAAGAGAACACTCCACTATGAGTTAGAAAGTGAGTATTTAAGACCTGATTGTGTGGAATGGGTCCATCCCTTCCTTTCGAGCCTCAGTTTCTTTTTCTATGGGATGAGAGATGCGGCAGGGTAGAGAGAAAGGGTAGGCCTACCTCAAGGATGAATAGACTTACAAATGTGAAAGCCCTTTGAAAACCAGCTAGGTACAAAAGTTAATTATTATTAGACAACAAAGGCAGAGGCAATACACCCAAGAAGGGCAGAGTTAAAACTTCTCTAGCATTTTTCATTAGACATCGGTTCCTTTAATCCTTTCCCCAAAGCAGAATTAGTTTTTCAAAAGCCTCCTGAGTGAGAACCTCAAGATAAAGGGGCCATTGAGCATGCGCTTGCTTGCACTTGCAGAGCTATGGCAAGGTGGGGGCTACTGTGAGAGGAACAGTGGATGTCCTTTGACCTAAAAAGAAGGAAGCTGAGGTCCTGGCAGACACAGAGGGCCGGTGCTATGGCCTCTTTCAGTCTGCGAACTTTGTGGGTTTGCTTTGCAAAGAGTAGACATGCACTGAGCACCTGGTGTCTTCTCACGGCTTGCTCCCCCAGGAACAAGCCCAATCCTGCCAAGGCCTCATGGGATTTCTACTCTGTCCTCACACTTTGGGGAAATGGCCAGCAGCCTGCCCTGGGGCCTCCTGGTGGCTGTGCTTAGAATCAATCATTAATTATTCTGATCCACTTCCCCGAGGCTTTCAAAACAGAAATAGAAATACAGGTCCTGGCAGGTGAGAGGAAAGGGCACTGGCTGGAAAGGCAGTTTGGAAAAAGCCACCAGTGGCATGTGTCCAGTTGGGGAAGGTTGGAGATGTGACCTGGCACACATCCCTTGGGCTTTTGCCCATTCTGTAGACCCTTGGTAGTGTTTACCTTGGCTGGTAGAGGGGGAGCCTGGTGCTCCTATGGCTGAGTAAGAAAAATCCTCACTGAGGTAGCAGAAAAAGAGAATATGACTAAAGCAGTTACACAGAGGGGAAATTCATGTTTCCCTCTCCTAATAATAGTTTTTAAAGCTACTAATAATGAGCTGGATTCTTTTTGTTTGTTTGTTTGTTCTGTTTTTTCGAGACAGGGTTTCCCTGTGTATCTTTGGAGCCTATCCTGGAACTAGCTCTTGTAAACCAGGCTGGGTCTCGAACTCACAGAGATCCACCTGTCTCTGCCTCCCAAGTGCTGGGATTAAAGGCATGCGCCACTACCGACAGGCAAGCTGGATTCTTTTTTTGATCTGTTCACCTGCAGAAGCTATCCTGACCAAGGGCATTCTGCAGGAGGATCAAATAAGCAGTAGTGACCCAGGCCTTGCCTTAGGTGCTGGCAATTCTGCTCATTCCATCCTGGTCCCTCCCTCTTCCCAGCACCTACCATTCTCCCTAGGAAAAAAGTTTCTGGAAGCCAGGGTGTGGCTAGAGTGAGGTCAGACCCCATGGTGGGAACATACCCCTGCCATGAGATGGAGAGCAAGCAGCTCAGCAAACAGGAATGCCCTCCCCTGGCCAGGACCCTGTGATCCAGCCTAGGACAGCAGGAGTCAGGGTGCAGGAATCCTTCCACCCATTCCAGGGCACCAAGTGGGCTACCTTCATGACAGCTGTTCTTGGGGACATGCCAAGGAAAAAACCCAGGGCCGGGGCTGGCTGTATTCTCTGAGGGCCTGGAATGCCAGAGGTTCTTGCTCTTAGCAGAAACAACAGACTAGGGTCAGCCCTCCCCAGTCCCTGGCAGTGCCCAGGGAACTGACAGAGGGACCATCAACCTTAAGGGTTGGGAGTTGAGTGGAGGTGTGGGAGATGACTCAAGTACAAAGAAGATTCAGTAGATCTAACCTGACTTTTGTCCCCAACCTCTCAAACTGTTCTCTGGAAAACTTCTGGCACATTCTGAGCAAAACAAGCTAAGATGCTATGTCTACTCTCCTGTGGACCTGGGTTCATTTCAACAGCCCTTCCCTCACTGTGTCTGGAGGAGCAGAGTTAGGACTTGAGACCTTGTTCTCCTCTTTCTTTTCTGATGGTTTTCCTCATGGCTTTCAGCTCTCATATTAGAGTGGATGGAGCATCATCTTGAGAGAATGCCAAGTAAGGAATCCTTGTGACAAAAGTGCCTGTCACCAGTTACAAGCTAAGTATTACTAAATGCCAGCAAGACTGAATACTCCATAGCCCGTCCATTTATTTACTACAGTACCTGGTTAGGTCAGGGTCTGGAGGCACCTGGGACACACACCTTGCTGTGAGTCGCTCAGCTGCTGAGAGGTGGAATCTTGCTCTGATCTCAGATGCAGCTAACCCCCCACCCACCATGGTTTCCTCTACCTCATGTCTATATTAGGGTGTGAATAGTAACCATGACTCCAAGGAAGCTCTTGGACTAAGGTCAAAAGTAAAGCAGAGAGTATGTGTCAGTTTCGGGGACCAGTGCCCATGGTGAGGAGGCTTGTCCTCTGTGTCCTCAGAGAGGCTGGCATGTCAAGAAATGAAAAGAATCGAAAGTTGTGGCATGCCTGCTCCCTACCTGGACACTTGCAGTATTCACAAAGCACAGATATTGCAGACAGTTGTTTAAGCATCAGTCACTTACCTCTGCCTTTTCCTAAACGTTGTTTAAAACCCTTTCTCATTTTAGGCATCTCACGACAAAGGAGAATTTCCTTTTCTTGGACCAAATGCCCTTCCTGTGAGCTTCATGCTGTATGCTACAGCCCTGGTTACTTCTATTTACTTTGCTTACATTCCCATCATGGGTTTGTCAGTCCTCCCTCCCTCTCTCCCTTTTTCCTTCCTTCCTTCCTTCCTTTCTTTCTTTCTTTCTTTCTTTCTCCCCTTTCTTTCTCTTTTTCAAGAAAAATCACTTCCTTCAGGCTCAGCCCGGAAAAAGATGGAGGAGAATGCGGGGACGAGGCATCACAAGTATGAGTGACCTGTGTTTTCCTCTGTGTTCTGGGGGGTCTGAGCAGGTACTCAACAGTGCTGAGGCCTCTGTCCTTTAACCCTCATCCCCACATTCATGGATAGAGCTTGCTCTGTCGTCTGTACTGCCAAGTTGTAGTCCTCAGCTGGGGCTGAGTGAGGAGTTGTCACATCAAGAGAATGCTAGAGCCCTGTGCCTCTGGAAAGTAAGTCTTCAACCTCAGGCACCACCTTTGCCTGTGTGTGGATCTCTCAGAGTAGTTTTGCAGTGCCCTACAGGAATTCATTGAAATGTACCCGGAAGACTATTTTCTGTGTCATTATTAAATATTATTGTTATTACTTTACAAAAATTGTTAAATGTTAAATATTTATTAATAAATTACGTTAAATTAAATAACATTACTTTATAAAATAGTGTTACTTTCTGAAATATTAAATTTTATTATTTTATAGAAAAGGTTTTGGTGTGTGTGTGTGTGCAGACATTTGTACAGGTGCCTGTGGAGGTCAGAAGAGCTTGTTGGGTTCCATCAGAGCTAGAGTTGCAGGTGTTTGTGAGCTACCTAATGTGTGGGTATGTGTACTGTGTGGTATATGTGTAATGTGATGTGGTATAGGACGGGTCTATAAAAGTGTGCAAGATTAGAGCAAGAACTTCTTTAGTGTGTGGGATGTGTTGTGCTTCTGTGGTATGAATATATCCTGTGTGTGTTTGTGTAGGTTATATAGATATATAAGAGGTATGCTGGGCAACTGCTATAGGGCATTTGTATGTGTGTTCATATGTTGGCGTGTGTGGGGTAGCGTGTGTGTGGTATGGTGGCATGTGTAGTTTAGGGTACACATGCTAGCATGTGGTACAGTGGGGTATCTGTGCTGTGTGTGTGTGAGGGGGTAATCTGTGTGTGACATAGGCTACAGGTAATATGGAGTAGGTGTGTATGGTATGGTGGGGATATGCAGGACAGTATATGAATTGTGTGCAATGGAGTATGTGTGCTGGTGTGCATGACACAGAGAGTGTGTGTGGTGGGGTGTGGACAGAGGTGTGCGTTTGCTGTGAATAATGTATGTGGATAGGTGTGACATACATAAAGGGATGTGTGTGGTGTAGTGGGATGTAACAGTATGAAGTGTGTGTGTGTGTGTGTGTGTGTGTGTGTGTCTGTGTGTGTGTGTCTGTCTGTGTGTGTCTGTGTGTGTGTGATACAAATAATGGGTTTGGTGTGGTGGAGTGGTGTGTGTGTGTGTGTGTGTGTGTGTGTGATACAAATAATGGGTTTGGTATGTGTGTGTGTGTGTGTGGTATGTGGTGACATCTGGGAGATATTTGGAAAGTGTAAAGGATGAGGTCATGGGTCCCAGGAGGCATGTTACAAAGTTTGGACTTTGTACTAAGAGCAGAGTGATTTTAGTGCAGAAAAAGGAGAGAATATATTTGGGTTTTAGAAAGTTCTTCCTGGGCTAAGAAGCTGGCCTATTGCTGGGCATTGGGGGTGCATGCATTTAATCCCAGCACTCAGGAGGCAGGG